GCCTCAGTCAATTTCCAACCCCTCTCTTTTTATACCAGTACATACATACGTACTTCTCCAGCCAATAAACCATTTACATTCCCTTAACTTAGAATGTGTTCTTCTTAATTCAGTAAATGTGTGTGTATTTTATCTTGGTTGCACTTCCCTTGACTCTAATCTACACAATTAACTTCCTCTCTTCTTTCAAAGCCAGCTCAAATATCACACTTCCTTGTACCTCCTCTTCCTGGAATTAAGCAGATAGCAATTGACTTTTCCCTTTTGTGCTCCTATAGCAAATCCAAGAGCATAACTGAGCTCAATGCTTAACATGTATTAAATATTTCTTAAGAATGAGACAAAGAATTGTCTCATTTAATCATCATTATTATCCCCATTTTGGGAAACTGAGGTTTGGAGAATTATAGCAACTTGACCAGGTTCACACAGCAGGTAGCTGGCAGACATAGGGATTGAATGACTCCAGAGTCTGTGCTCTTACTCACCATACTAAATTGTCTTTAATGCATCATCTACTACATTGCATATAATTATGTATTTGTAGAATATCTTCTGACTGAACTACAAGATCCTGCCTATAATACCGAATGTCTGACACAATAAATGAATAATTGGATTAATGATAATCTAAAGCAAAATTGAGGTATTTCTGTAATCTCTATTGCGAAAGGAAAATAAAAACTGGGACCCCAATTCATTATGCCAAAAGGGAAAAATTAAGCTGAAAGCTGAGTCATGCAAGCAACTGACTTTACTTTTGTTCCTAAGCAGATAGCTACAGATTAAAGGTCAAATATCTCCACTTTATGTTCACCTTATCTTGGGTAAAATGCCTATTTACAGAGCGTGAGACAAATACATAATTGACTATTTCCTTACTACTTCTTTTATCTTGCAACAAGTGGATTCAGTAATGTGACCAGACCCTCCCTATTTCCCCTCCAGCCTGCTTTTCCTTTTTAAATATTGAAGCCCTGAAAATCATCATTGGAGAAAGGTACAGATCTGTCTCCCATGCATCCTCCGTCTTGACTAAATAAAGTTCTAAATTGATTGGGATTTGTCTCAGAAACTTTATGGTTTACACTATGGAAGTTTTCATGTATTTAACTTTGCTTTATAAATTGCCCAAATTTTAAGGATTATATAGAAAAGTAAATATTGTATGTTAAATCATGTTTTATTTTTAATCAACATAATTAAAACATTTTAGTGATAGAAGGAAAACTTAAGGTCATTTAATATCATTCACCCATTATAATTTTTTAACAGGTAAGGGCTGCAAAAACAGAATTATTCAGTAATAGTTAATAGATGGTAAGTCAAAGCAAGAATATCTGAGTTTCCGATTATCTAGACTCTGTTACCCTTGACTTAAAATTTTAGAAATGTGCTATATCCCTCAAACTTTGGGTCTCACTAAAATGTTGCTTTAAATCTTAAAACTCTATTAGAGCATCTTTTATGTATATTTACTTGTTACACAGTCCTTATAAGAAAACAAATTTAATTTAAAATACTTGCAGTTATTTGCTTCCTAAAATCTACTTCAGAGTTAACTTTTGGGATTTTTTGTTGAGTATCACATTAAGAATGTTAGAGAAACCAAATTTGTCCTATTATACCAAAACAAAACAAAACAAAACAAAACAAAAAAACCAAAAAAAAAGAAACCTAGAAGTTGTTTGTTTAAATAAATTTTTAGTTAGCCAAACTCACATTCATTATTCGCTTTAAGATATGATAATGTCTTTTTAATGTTCAAGGTCCTGCTAATTTCAGAATATTTGCCAAACGGCTAACTGATAACAAAACAATTCCCACTTCCACTGAAGGGGTTAGCTACCTACAATTAAAAAACGTCCCATTGCCACAGGCTGTGAAAAAACAAAGCATACTGCCACACTTGCAGACAGTAATGTTTCAACCAAAGTAACTCAAATTTCTTCTTTAAGTTTTAAATTTTGGTCTGTCTTTCAAGGCTCATAAAATCTTTCCCTTCCAGAAATACCAAGCACACGTATCAAATCATTCTGTTCACTTCTAGCTGTGGAATTCTGTTAATTTCATGCAGCATTGGCATTTACTCTGCAGAAGGTAGAGGGTAATTGCTTAATAAAGAAATCCCACCAGTTGAGTCTTTCTTTCTACATATATTGACTACAGCAATCCCTAGGCTCCAGGTTACTTATAAGAGATCAATAGACATGCCAAGTTAATGGCCCAAGTAACATATTTCTCTTTCACTTTTTCTTTCCAGTTAAAAATTACAAAGCATATACAAAGGATTTCTCTGGGCTTAATACAGAGCCCATGGGAAAATGTTGACATTGGAAATACTACTTTGGGGATTTTTTTTCGTCACACCATACACTATTTTACACAATCTTTTCATTATTCATCTTGCAAAACATATAAAAAAATCATTACATTTCCCTTTAATTCCAAGCCAATCATTTTGTTCTTCTAGGACATTAAACACATGAAAGTTTTAGCTGGGCTTTGTTTATGCATTCATTTCTTTGGTTAAAAGAAAATCTGCAAAGGAACTTCTGAGCTCTCCTTTCACAGCTGAGATTAGAGAAAACCAAAACTCTGAAGCAATGAAATTTATAGAACTATAAATCACATTTCAGTTTTTGACCTTGAAAAATTATGGAGATCAAGAAGTCTGATGAAGCAATGTTCATTACTGGTTCACAAGAACATTAATCTGCTTATGTTATCACAAAATTTGTGGTGCGTTAATGGGTCACTCAGGTGACTTTATGTTCACACATCACTTAGACAAAGTAAAGGTTAAAAACAACAGATATTACCGATGTGAGATAGTATGTAGGCTGAAAATGCAGTCCTATTTCTTTGAAAATCTTTGCCTCCTCAAAAAAAAAAAAAAAAAAAGAAATGTGAAAAGCAGCCCCCAAATGGTTTTGCACTCCAATTTGATTTGATTTTAGAATTGCTTATGTTACTAAGATTTATGAGTGCTGCTTCTCGTGAAAGAATGGCATATCCTTCAGCTCTTATTGTGGACTTTAATGGAAATAATGTGCTTTTATGGAATAAAACCTCTCTGAAGCCCTGCCTAAAACTGTTTCAAACCAGAACCTCTGTACTGTGTCTGGAAAATCACTAACAGAGACAGACAGAAAGGGAGCAAATCTGTTTTTTCCATCTTCTTTCTGAAACTTCCTGTGCAACTTTCTTACTAGGATTTTTATTCCATAATAGCTGTAGAATATAAGTGATTTGCATTTTAGAAAATTATACTGTGTGATTTTTACATCCTATATCTCTGTTTCAGTTATGCATTCAACAGTTGCATTCCACATGATAATTTAAGGAGCTGTCAGAAAGCAATACCTTTTACAGAAAAAGACATAAAGCTGTAGTCAAACCTTAATTACCCACTGAAAGACATGAGGGGGCTGATATTCTGAAATAATAGATAGTTCCAAATATTTGACATTCATAAGCTTATTATAATTTCATACAGAAGATGTCCCTTTCAAGTGAAGTTTAAATTAGGTAGTTAAATGTAGCTGGTATTTCCCAGATACAACAGTGGGGAGCTAGGGTAGAAGCTTTTGGCTCTTGCTGGATAGGTAGCATACCGTGCAATATGCTACATCTGCAGACAATTGAGAATGGAGTATTCCTCAAAGATTTTCTTCATTATCCTTTGCTTCAAAATATTCACTTCCAATGCACAGTATTTTCAATCCAAGCTAAATTCTTTTTATACATTCACATCTATTTGCTGTGAATTATAAAATCTTAGATTTGTCACAAATCTTCCTGACAATTACACCAGTAAGTTATCAACCATCCCTGTTCTTTTCAGAGATGGGAAGTTCACCAAGTCACCAAACTGACTGTTACCATGAGGAATTCCTTTACCTCAGAACCTACTGTCCCAATAGATTAAATATATGTTATACAGGTCTAAAGAATATTAATGTTCAATATTAGTTAAAATAAATATTTATAATTAGTTAAATTAGGTATAACTTTTATTTGCCACATCATAATTATCTATATTTTTTATGCTTCATGTAACATCACATAAAATTTGAGCATTGGATAGATCAAAAAAGTTATTTATACAAGCTTATATAATAAAAATTTAGAGATATGGTTATCTTGTTTTTACATTTTGCTCTCATATAACATGATTACTATGCTATCACATAATAGTATGTACCATACAAGGGACAATTCAAGGTAAAATATACTATGTCAATATGCTGTTTTATGAATCATTTGTCTCCACTTTATTAAATAGAATGGGAAGTTCCAATTTTTATTATTTTCTGAATTTTATCTTATCCTAACCAATATGCTGCAAAGAATATTGGGAATTTTTGCCTCATGAAACTCTTTTCTCTTTTCTCTCTCCCTATGCCCCTCATCAAACAAACTTAATTTACTTTTCTTTACTGAGTGGATTCAAGATCTCGCTTTCTCCAGCTAAAAGTAATAATAAATAAATGTTTTCTGCATCTAGTGCAAGTTATGTCCTGGAATCTAAAATATCCCAGATTAAGGCCCAATAAATCAGAGTATGTATTTGCCTGACACAAAAGAAATATATACAGATTGCATTCTGCTCCCAACTACAGAACTCCCTTTTTGTTTGAAATTATTTTTTAAGAAGGTGAAAGAAAAGAAATAGTAAAATATTTAAATGTTTTAAATGTACTTCATTGTGATTATTTCTCTTATTAACATTTATAATATGTCTTGAGGAAGAGGTTGTAAAATTGTTCACTACCTATAGTTCATGAGAACAAGGAAAGTGTATATATATATAGTGATGAAAAACATCTTTATCTGAAATTTGTGCTGGAAGGATAATTGAGCTTAAAAATGTAATTGTTTTTATGTAGTTGGAAAAACATATGGGTTGATTGATGGTGGGGCCCAAAAAGATATATCTAGATCATAATCCCTGGAACCTGTGAATGTTATTTTATTTGGAAAATGTATCTTTGCAGATGTAATTAATCTAAGAATCTTGAAATGAGGAGATCATCCTGGATTATCCAGTTGGGCCCTAAAGCCAATGACAAGTGTTCATGTAAGAAAACAGCAGACTGAAACTTGAGACAGACAAAACAGGAAGAAAACAGAAAAGTGATGTGAAGATAGAAGCTGAGTGGAGAACAGTGTGGCCATAAGCCAAGGAATGCCAACCCCCATCAGAAGGTGGAAAAGGCAAAGAAGGGATTATCTCTTGCAGCTTCTAGAAGGTGTGCAGTCCTGATGACACCTTGATTTTGGACTTCTAGCTTCCAGAACTTTGTGAGAATAAATTTTTGTTGTTTTAAGTGACACATTTGTTGGTGACTTGTTACAGGAGCCACAGAAAACTAATACACCATATGAGCTCAATAATATGACTATGTGTTCATCAAATCCATGAGATGAAAAATTTCTTGAGGTAAGGACCACTAAGATTTTGTTGATTGTGATGTTTTACACAGCTAGCTTGAATGAGGCAGAGTATCTAGGCACATGGCTGACCAGAAAAATTACTATTTCCCTATCTCCTCTGAAGCTGGATGTAGCCTAGGGGCTATTTTGAACCAAAAAGAAAAAAGCACATATAAAGTGGCAACTACAGGGATACACATTCCTAAAGATGGAGCAGTGTGATGGATGAATAGGAGACACCAACTTACATAGGAAGTATATTTGATTTGGTGCAAGATAAGTGTAGATTGAGAGTAGAGGCAATGCCTAGAGTAACAGTAACATGAAAGTGTTATACAACACTTGAATGCCTACAAAGACTTTCCTATAAGAGAGAATTATACTATTGTTTTCTTCTTATGTTACAGACAAGGTAGAGTTCTGCTACAACCAAACTTAATTCTAACCAATACACAAGATAACTGGGCCAGATTTGTCATAAGTTTGGTGAATTTATATAATTTTTTTGACTTAAGTATTTTATATAAAGTTGCATTCTTGGAGAAAATGAGAAGATGAATTTACTAGAAATATTCATCAATTAAAATATTTTTGTGCTCTGTCTCCCACTCACTTGCACATCAAGAGATAAGAAACGATCTATTTATGGAAAATGAATTGAAATATATATTTTATTTATATTTCTCCACCTTCTGCATAAAATACTTTTATTGAAGGCTTTTAAGGTGTTCATTACTATATCTAAAAGTTGAAGTAGCAACTCTCATTTCTCATTCATTGTATTAGAATGCAAATTTTTGTTGAAAAGAACTGTAATGACATCAATGCATATCATTTTGACCCTCAAGAATTAAATTTTTTGATGTTAATTATTCATAAACACTCCTTGCCTGAGCTCATTTGAAAAATTAAAAAATGAAATCATGTCTCAGCAATGTACCCAGGCTACCTGCTACCTCTGTAACACATTCTGACTCTCTAAAATTTAATTGTTGCTTCCTTACTTATATCTACATGCTACTCACTCAAATAATATTTGTTGCATTGATTTTTGTCTCTCAATTAATCCCTGCAAATAAGTTTCTTCAAGAAATATTGGGTGATTGTGCATATTCTGTAACTGAAATAAATTCTGTATCCTGCTTTTCACCTTGTTGCCATTATGAAATGTCAACCAATCACATTACTGACAGATGTTGTTTCATTCTACATTTTCATAGATCTAAGAAGATCTTTCTTTTTAATTGTCTACTCTTGAGACAATTTGTGTCCAGGTGAATGCTAGGGATAAGACAACTAATTGGCACCTATTAGTTTATGTGGAGAAGCCTGTGGCATAAATAATCATGCAAACTTTCTACTCTCTGTTTCATTTTTCTCCTCACTTAAGACTCATAATTATCTTCTCATCCTCAAGATTCAAATCAGTAAAGAATTTCTTGATCTGGTCAAGCAAAATTAATCATCCCTCTTTTTGTTTCATGACTAAATATAACAGTAGCACTCTTTTTATAAATTCTACTTTTGTGTGAAAAATTGAAGACAAAATTTTAATACTTGGTAGTTTCTAAAACCTACTGACATTCTTGGAAAACTCCCTTTAACAGAATCATTGGGACCTGATCAAGAAAATACAACCAAAGCATGGTTTCCAAGCGCTGATGGAATAAGGAAAATGGAAGCAGAGATTCTTGGGCAGTGAGAGTGTCCTGACAGGGAGGCTGAATTGTCAAGGATGTCTAGCATACATATTGAAAAAAAACCTGTTTGTAAACCTAGTAGAGATTAACTTTGTACACATACTCATCTACAGAATAAAAAAATGATAGCTCTCAATAACTGAATATTCATTAAAAAATTTCCCTGGATGGATTTACTTAGTGTAAATAAGTTCAGTATAAATAAGTTCAGGAAAGAAGGAATCTCAATTTCTTCATGCAGTGTTTTTCAAAGAGAATAAAAGTCATAAAGAAGTTTGAATACATGCAAAATATTAGAAAACTTTAGATCAGGCTAGAGATGGTTACCATGGGGTATGCAATTTTTGGTTTTCTATATTGGTTGAAGTCACTAGGTAGATATTAAGAATGGCAGTGCTTCGAGTGTGGCTTTGAATCTCATGATTTCTTTCTTTCTTAGATATTTTCTTCAGGAGTTTTCCCATGTGCAATCAGTATGCTTGCCACTTTTCAAAATTTATTAAAACAGGGTCCTTGTCTGGTTTCAGCAATCTGTCCCACACAATTAATAGTCATTTTTATTTTCCATTATAGAGCCATTGATTACTTTTCCACATCAGTCTCTAACTGAACTATACATTAAAAATGGATTATTGTTGAGTCACACAAAGCAACACTGAGAGTTATTTTGCAGCAAAACTTTGGTGATGTTGACCTTATTTATTGCTCAACGTAAAACTTAATATAAAACTCAATATGGTCAGTTTCATAAAAATCAGGGCAAGACTGCAGACAGCCTGCTTGATTCATTCCTTACCACAAGGAATGGACATGAATTTTCAATTCCAAGTAAGCATTTAACATCTGTATGTTATGGCCTTTCCAAAAACCTGACAGGAATGTCATCAATGAAACTGAGAAGAAAATATTTTTGACAGACTTTTTCTTTGGCTTTCTTTTTATTCCACTTGCCAAATTCAAAAAGAAAAAAAATTCTTTCCTGCACTTTCCAGATATTTACTTTATTTAAAGAATGAGGAAATCTGGGATCAATGGCAGAAGACAGGGTTGCAAAATGAGTTGCTGTAATAATCAAAATTAAGGGATAACTTATAGTCTTGTCCACAACCATTACCCAGGGTACTGAGTTGGCTCTGAAATAATAGAAGAAACTAAGGGAAGGATTTTAAACAATAGCTACAATCCCCTGTATTATTTGACAACTTAAAGTGTCAAATTTATATTTTCCAGGGTGGAAGTTTAAGCAACGTGTGTGTGTGTGTGTGTGTAATTCAAGGTACAACATTACCAAATTACTCTTCATCTTAATGAGATGAACCTAGTAATCTATAAAAAGGAAACTTTGTTTTTCTGTTATATACTGTGACTAGGTTCAGAGTAAAAGATTCTTATGAGTTTAACCTCATAACTACATTGCCCTACATTGCCATCAGGAAGCTGCCAAATAGCTACTAAGTATAAGAGCTAGAATGTGAACCCAAGTCTTATTAAACTATTTAATTCCAGAGTCTTTCTGTGTAGTAACTACACAATCCAAATTCATAAGAAAAAGTAAAAGATGTTTCCTAATATGTAATGTGATCAGGGGATGATATGTGTTAATGAATAGCCTACCAACCAAGTCTCCCAAATCTCCTCTGCTACTCTTTTCATTCACCCAGGATATTAACATTCATTCATTACACTGAAGCAAAAATAGGCTTACAAATAGGCACATCAAGCAATTTTACCTTCTGTTTTCTTTGTAATTTCTTCTTAGGAAAAATTTCAATCATATCCAAAAGTAAACAATTACATAAGGAACTACCTTGTGCATAGCTTCCAATTCATGGTCAATCTTCCCTTCCTATTTCATATTATTTGAAAACAAATTTCACTCAATATGACATTTCATCTATAAATATTTCAAGTTGTACTTCTATAATATAAAGGATTAAAAATTATAATGACAATATCAATATGAACCTAAATAAATTGTATTTCTTTAATTTCATAAAGTACCTTGTCAGTGTTCAAATTACCCTGATTGTCTCAAAATTTATTTTCAAAGTTGATTAGCTTGATACAGGATCAAGTAAATTCCATACCTTATTGCTGATTTGTATGTGTCTTAAATCTCCTTTAATTTATAAATTACCCCATAACATCTTCCCCTGCCCCCATACAAGAAGCATAGAAGTCTCGAATGAAACTCAACCCAAAGAGGTGTTCACCAAGACACATAATAATCAAAATTTTACAAAAAAGAAAAAACAAAGAAAAATCTGAGAACAGCAGGAAATGAAAAACACATTACATACAAAAGAGTGTAAATCTGACTAAAAAAAAAAACTCTGCAGGACAGTTGACAATGGAATCATATATTAAAAGAGCTCAAGGGGGAAAAAAAAATTCTGACAACCAAGAATACTTTATGCAGCAAATCTGTATTTCAGAAATAAGGAGGAAACAAAATGCTACCAGACAAATACAAGCTAAGGAAGATCATCACCACCAGACCTACCTTACAGAAATAACTAAAGAAAATTCTTTACACCAAAAAAATGCTGCTAATTAATAACATAAGACATACAAAAGCACGAAACTCAAAGATGTAAGTCATATAGAGCCACATTCATAATACTTTAGGACCGTAATAATGGCATGTAAAGCAATTCTATTTCTAGCACAAGGATTAAAATACAAAACTGTGAGTATCAACTGTAGCTAAAATAAATTTTCAAGAGATGCACACTACAAAATGATGTAAATTATAACTTCAAAAACATAAAAGGGAGGGATAGTAAAATTGTAGTGTTGTTGAATGCAATCAAAATTAAGTTACTATCAGTTTTACATAGGCTGTTATAAGTTCTAGGTAAGCCTCATGGTGACCACAAACCCAAAGTCTTTAGTGTAAGAACAAAACAAAAACAGAAAAAATTCAAAGCATAATCTACAAAAAACCATCAAGCCACAAAGGAAGACAGCAAGAGAGAAAGAAAGAAACAAAGTATCTATACAATAACCAGAAAATAATGAACAGAATTGTAGTATTGAGTAGTTACCTGTCAATAATTACCTTGAATGTAAATGGATTAAATTTTGTGATAAAAAGACATAGACTGACTGACTGAATCAAAAAACATGACCCAACTATATGCTGCCTAGAAGAGACTCACCTCACTTTCAGAGACATACATAGTCGGAAAGTGAAGGGAAAGAAAAAGATACTACATATAAATGGAAACCAAAAGAGAGCAGGCATAGCTGTACTTATATCAGGCAAAACAGACTTTAAGTTGAGAAAACTGTAAATAGAGACAAAAAAGAATATTATATAATAATAAAGGAGTCAATTCATCAAGAGGATATAACAATGGTAAATATACATGCACCCAACATCAGAGCACCTAAATATATTAAACAAATATTAAAGAATGAAGAGAGAGAGATATAATACTAGTAGGGCATTTCAGTATTCCACTTTCCACAGTGAACAGATCATCAAGACAGAAAATTAATAAGGAAATACTGGACTGACTTGAACAACACTTTAGACTAAATAGACCTAACAGACACATACAGAACATTCTATCCAACACAAACAGAATATACATTATTCTTAAGCATACACGGAACATTTTTCCAGATAGTTCACATGGTATGTCACACAAGTCTTAACAAATTACATAAGATTGAATGTCAAGTGTTTTTCCAATTACAATGGTCTCAAACTAGAAATCAACAACAGGAGGAATAAAAAAAAAAAAAACATATACATGAAAATTAAATGTATTCCTGAACAACCAATGGTTTAATAAAAAAAAAAAAATTAAAAGGAATGTTAAATTTTTTCTTGAGACAAAAATATAAAAATACGATATGCTAAAATTTAAAAAAAAACAACTCTGGCAAAAGCAGTCCTAAGAGGAAAGTTTATAGCAATAAACACATTAAAAAAAGAGGAAAGATCTCAAAAAATCAACTTAATGTTATTCCTCAAAGAAGTAGGAAAAAATGGAGAAATTCAGCCCAAAGTTAACAGAGGGAAGGAGATAATAAAGATCCAAGCAGAATTAATTAAACATAGACTAGAAAAACAATCCAAAAGATCAATAATCTAAGAGTTTATTTTTTGAATATGTAAAATCAGCAAACCATTAGCTAAACTTAAGAAAAAAAGAGAAAAGATTAAAATAAATAAAAAATGAAAGAGGAGACATTACAAATGATACCTAAAAAGAAATCTGAGACTACAATGAACAATCATATACCAACAAAGTGGATAATCTAAAAGAAAAGGACAAATTCCTAGAAACAAAATACCAGGGCTGAATTGTGAAGAAATGAAAATTGGAACACACCACCAATAATGAGTAACAAGATTGAATCAGTAATGAAAAGTTTCCCATCAAAGACAAGCCCAGGACCTGATGGTTTTGTTGCTAAATTCTACCAAACTTTTAAAGAAGAATTAATATAATATCAATCCTTAAACTCTTCCAAAAAATTGAGAGCAAGAAATACTTTCAAACTCCTTTTTGCAAGGCCAGCATTATCTGGCTATTAAAGCCAGATAGGGATGCTATAAGAAAAGAAAATTGCTGGTCAATATCCTTAATGAACATAGATGCAAAAATTCTCAACAAAATACTGACAAATCAAATTCAAGAGTGTATCAAAAAGATGGGATTTATCTGTGATATGAAATGGGTTTTCAACACACATAAATCAATAAATGTGCTATATCACATTAACAGAATGAAGGACAAACCATACAATCATCTCATTAAATGCAGACAAAGCATTTGACAAAATTCAACATCCTTTTAAAATAAACACACCAAATTAGGTGTTGAAGGAATATACCTCAACATAACAAAGGGTCTATATGAGAAGGCCACAAGTAACATACTCAACAGTGAAAAATTGAAAGCCTTTCTTCTAAGATTTGAAACAAAGATACCCACTCTTACGGTTTCTGCTTAACACAGTATTGGAAGTCCTTGTCAGAGCAATTAGGCAAGAGAAAGAAATAAAAAACATCCAAATAGAAAAGCAAAAGTAAAATTGTCCTTGTTTACTAATGACATGATCTCATATATAGAAAACCTTAAAGACTCTACCAAAATGCTGTTAGAAGTAGTAAATGAATTCCATAAAGTTGCATGACACAAAATAAACATACAAAAATTAGTAGTATTTCTACACACTATGAACTATCTGAAAAAGAAATAAAGAGAAAAATTCCATTTACAATTGTTACAATAAATAGGAATACATTTAACCAAGGAGGTAAAAGACATGTATGCTGAAAACTATAAAACGTTGATGAAAGGAATGGAAAATGACAAAAATTAATGGATTTTGTTCATAGATTGGAAGAACTAATATTGTTAAAATGACCTTATTACACAAAAAAAAAAAAAAATTTAATATAATCTCTATCAATATTCCAATGTCAGTTTTCATAGAAATAGAAAAAAAAGTTTTGAAACTTATATGAAACAAACAAACAAAAAATCCCTGGATAGTTAAGGCAATCATGAGTAAAAGGAGCAAAGCTGGAGGTATCTCACTAGCTGATTTCACACTATACTACAAAGCTATAATAATTATAGTAGCATGTTACTGGCATTAAAATAGATACATCAACAAATGTAACATACTAGAAAGCCCAGAAATGAACCAACACATGTACAATCAATTGATTTTCAAGTTGCCAAGAATACACAATGAGAAAAGAGTCTTGTCAATAAATGTGTTAGAAAGACTGGATATCCACATGTAGAACAATAAAATTGGATCGTTATATCACACAATGCACGATAATAAACTCACAATGTATTAAACACTGAAACATAAGACCAGAAATTGTAAAACTGCTATAAGAAAACCCCAGGAGCAAAAACTACACAACATTGGTCTACACTGGTCTGGACAATAATTTTTTGTATTTGACCCCAAAAGCACAGGCCACAAAAATCAACAAATAGGATTACCTCAAACTAAGGAGCTTGTACACAGGAAAATAAATGTATTTTTGTATATGGTATGAAATAAAGACTCAATTTCGTTCTTCTGCATATGAGTATCCAGTTTTCCCAACATCAGTTATTGAAGAGACTATCTTTTTCCTGTTGTGTATTATTTTTGTTGTGGGAGAAATGGGACGCTTCCTCCTATGGGCATCTATCTTCTTATTTCCAAAGAGAGAACAAAGTCCATTCCTCAAACAAAAACTAAGGTTTGAGGAATAACCATTGCAAAGTATCAAAGTACATTACCAAGTTTTATTTTGAATGAGGCCCAAGACATTGTAGTAATGAACTCTGTTCGATATTTGGAAAACTAATGATAAAAGCTTAGCAGTACACAGACGTAGAAATTATTCTGTACTGTGTTTGAATTTCAGTTCCTCCAGTTACTAACTTTGTGATCTTGCATGGGCTATTAACTTTCTGAGCCTTAGTATCTTTTGCTCTAGTCTACCTCTCTCATGGGTTTATTGGGGAATTAAATTAAGTCACTGTAAGTAAAGAGCCTTGGACAGCACTTGGTATATAGTGGCACAGAATATAGTTGCTCTTTCCCAAAATGCTTCTAGAATGAAATTCTAGAATGGAAGCTGTAGTCTTGGGTATCAGGCATGTGTTGGTTTAATTTTAATCTAGATGTCATGCCCCCTTATTCTTGAGTTCTAGAACATAAGAAAGACAATGCATGAGGAATCCAAAAGCTCAGAAAGGTAAGCACTTGGTACTTTACAATTCCTATAACTATTTGAATCTGGTACTGCAGGACTAAACTAGGTCTTGTGATTCACTTAAATCAACAAAGAAATACTGAAAGATCTGAAATTATAAACTTCTGTTTTGCCATTCTTGGAGTGTTCCATAGTGACATTACAGTTCCCAATAAGAAGAAACATATATGTG